TCGGGAAAGTTAAGAAACTCGTTGCTAAAATTTTTTAATCGTTTATCCCAGTGTTTCTCAACGGGGGCAATATCGCCCCCATGTGGGCGTTTTTCCATGTTGAGGGGCGATTAGTAACAATTTATATTTTGAAGAACGAAAAACAATTTTCTGGGCGATATAGTAAAACATTATATTAAGAAAAATTACATATTTTATTCGTTATATCGTACAATAATTAAACAAATAACATTATACTAGTCACTAGTCTATTCGATGCAGTACGAATTTAACGTTAGCCTTGTCCCTCGGAATCGAAATTTTGTAGTGAAGGGGGCGATATTACGTAACGGTTTTATTGAAGGGGGCGATACTACGTTGAAGGGGGCGACGATTCGTTAGAGGTTGAGAAACACTGGTTTATCCCATGGACAATTTCCTCGTGCTCTGATGTTTGGTACATTTCAAATATAACAATACAATCAGATCTGAAAATTAACATAACGACATAAGAGTTTCACTAGCGTAGCGAGGAAGAGTGCAAAGGGTCCATTCGAAGAAGGACGCCCAAATGGTCTCCAAGACAATCTATATGTGTTTCTGGAGGGGAGAGGCGCCAATAAAGTGTCGTTATGTTCGCTACGCCACTGAAGAGTTTCATCTACAGAAACTTTTTTTTTTACTAAACAGGAAATGATGTTACGATTTTAATCTCTTGTTTCATAAGCACGTGAGGAACAATAATACCGTAACACAGGCATGTCAAACACGCGGCCCACCAATACATAAGTTGCGGCCCGCCGAAACTTTTAAAAAATTTTTAAATATCAATATTTTTAAATTTTTAAATATTAAATATGACGCTTGAAGTTGGAAATTTTGAACTTTTTTGGTTGACGCTGGTGTCGCGTGTGGTTGCATTTTCGCTTGGGACGCTGCGCGCTGGTGCGAGGCGCAAGGTCTGTATAAGAAGGTCAAGACATGCGTGACCTACTTATTGAGCCGCCATTTTGGGATATTTTGAGTCGCATGTTTTAAGCAAACTCGTACGAGCAGTCAGTTTTTACGACATTAATTAAACAAAAATTGCATAAATCCAGTGATTTTCAGTCGAAAATATAATAATAATTTCGGATGATTATGCAACCCCAATTTTATGTAACTTTTCGATCAAATAGTTTAAAAGAAACAATCATCTATATCAGGGGTGTCCAACCCGCGGCCCGCGGGCCGCATGCGGCCCAAGGCAAGTTCCAATGCGGCCCAATAAACGTGTAAACAAAACCGACAAATGTTTTAATTTATTATTATTTATTTATTTCAATCGGGACATTCCAATTTTCAACGCGAGTGTTGAGTGTTGAAGTCAACTAAAAAGATACATGCTGATCTCATGAAAAAACAAGCATGAACTAGCCAGGAAAGTGAGGTGTTTAAAGTCAGCCTTTTTTTTTTTTTGATGAGAACGGATTAAAACGCGCGATGAATAAGCAAACTTGGACCAACTGATAAGTAAAACAAAAGACGTTTTGAAAACCTTTTAACACCATAAATGAGACTGACAAGCAATAAGACAGATAATTGGCTCTATACGTTTAGTTGTCGCGGTAAATTTTAAATACTTCCGGGAATAAAGTTCAAGAATAATCCTTTATATAAATACATTTTATATATTTTAAATATAATATTAATAATTGTTATTGNAGATTGACAAGCAATAAGACAGATAATTAGCTCTGTACTTTCAGTTGTCGCGGTAAATTTTAAATACTTCCAAGAATAAAGTTCAAGGGTAATCCCTTATATAAATACATTTTATATATTTTAAATATAATATTAATAATTGTTATTGATGATAGGCGTTTCGACATTAATCACAAACTAACCGATTCTTTAAATTATTTATTGTTACGAGGCATTCCTTTTGCGTTCGGTAGAATTATTTATTTATTGAACGAAAAAATAATTGTAAATGTAAGTTGAAGAAATTAATTGTCAAGTTGAAAAACGACACGAAAGAGACAAAGAAAAAGATTTCTCAATCAAAAGAAGAGAATTCAAATTTAAAGGAAGAAAAGAAGAAATTAAAAGACGACGTTCTCAGAGTGAAATTTTCGTACGAATCGAAAAACGCACCATTACCGAACGAGATAAAAAAATATATAAGGGGAACCTTAGAGGATTTTAATGAATCAGCAGACCCCTCTCNATTATGATCGTATTAAAACAATTACATGTTTAATTATTTTATTATCAGATAGAAAAATGCAAAAATTACATTTGCTTTATATCTGAATTGCCAATATCATTTATAAATTTCCATGTATCATGGACACGAAGAGTATCTACTCGTTTAGACCACTTGTTACAAACTTTAAACATATAAACTCTTTGAACTGCATCATGAACCATCAGTTGATGTCTACGCTACATTTTGCTTTCCTCCGCTTATTTGCAGGAAATCTGAACAATCGAACGTCGGTAGACTTACTTTTACAATTAGGTGCAACACAATAACCCATTGCATAACGTTTTGAGTACATATATAAGTAATAATAGTCGACTCACGCAGGAAACACGTATAATGAGCTCTATCGATGAGTCCCAAAATGGCCGCTGCCGCATAGAATCACGGGAGCGTGTCCTGACCTTCTTATAGAGACCTTGGCGAGGCGTGAAATGAAAAGCGGCGGCCGAATCCAAAATTCTTGTCATCCTTGTCTTCTCCACTACACCCACACGCGAACGACCCTAGTTCATCCTGACGCGGGATTAACGATTCCCCCTGGAAGTCGAAGAACTTACACTGGTGTCTGAAAGCGGGATTTTAATTAATTTAAATCTCCAATCTCCACTAGGTTAGCGAACTTACAGTTTTATTTATCATAATAGTTAAAATTAGTGCCAATCTGAAGGCTACCCGGCTGAGTCATACAGCACTTATACAACATAGGCCAGTCAAAAGTTTGTAGCACACATTATGTTTTGTGTTTGTGTGTACTGTACGTCTCATATATCCAAAACGGCTTCACCTTCTACAAGACAACGTTTCCTGTCGCCGATATAGTCTAGAATTTGACATAAATTCAATGATTTGTTCTCCATTTGGTCCCCGCAGTAGTCGTCACCGATAGAAACTGAATCGGCTCAGGCACTGAACAAACACGTGGTCGGTTCCTTACCTGTGTCGGCAGCCGTCTTGGCTCAAAAACAGCGCCCTCTGTCGGATTTGGCGCTTGCCAATATTATGTTAGGCTTAGAAATCTTTCTTTGTTCTTTTTTCTAACTGTTCTAGAAATTTCCTTTCCAACCCTTTTCCCCTTGGGTGAGGTCACCGTTTCTGAGAAGTGGACTGGGAAAACAAAGGAGAGGAGAGGTTCTGGGGTCACTGGAACCAGAGGTGAGACACTTTTGGCTCGAACTCCAGTTAGAGAAGTCGTACTCCAGTGTCCAGGTCTGAAGAGAGAGGCTGGGAACTACGTGGAGCCGCTCATATTCCAATAATAAGGACGTTCCATAAAAGAACTTAGAAATGAAGATATTGATAGGATACCAAGTTTGAGGTGTAGAGAAGGAAGGAACAGAGAAAGAACTGTTCAGGGAAAAGACTGAAACGGTGACGTATCCAAGACCACGGGGACTTAATCATCATCAATTTGCTTCATTTCTGGAAGATAGAATGTGAATACACCGATCTACCATATTATACGAAAGTACGATGATTTTCGAGTTATAAAGTATTAAAACGATTCTTCAAATTGCTGGACGAAATTATAATTGAAATCTGTCAATATCTATGCTCACCAAATTAAATTGTTAGAAACGGAATTCGATCGAAGATTTTCTGATTTTAAAAGCTGTGAATTACAACTTCGTCTTTTTACTTCACTTCTATCTATCGATATTGAAATTGTTGATGAAAACTTACAAGTGGAATTAATTGAAATCCAATGTAATAATTTGCTGAAGCAAAAATGTATGAAAAGATTTTTATGCATATTTATCTGTAAATTGGTTTCCTAAAATGTTATCGTTTGTTACGCGTATACAGTCGACCCCCTATAACACTGTTGATTATTCTGTTTTATATGAATTCCATGTTGTACGAGTCACTTAGATTTTACAAATATGTGTGCCGAACTGTGAACGGCTCACGTATTTGTAAAATCTAAGTGACTCGTACAACATGGAATTCATATAAAACGGAATAATCAGCAGTGTTATAGGGGGGTCGACTGTACTGGCTATGTTCGGAAGCACTTATTTATGCGAGCAACTATTTTCTTTAATGAAAAATAACAAAAATTCAGAAAGGTCAAGATTAATCAATCAACATTTATCATTAATTTTAAAAATTGCATCAGCTCAATATATTCAACCAAATTTTGATGAATAACGTTGTCAAATATCTTGTAAAAAGTAATATTAAACTGTGATTTTGTTCATTTCTTATTATAACTTTTATTTTTGTTTTTTATAAAAAATATAAAATATTTATTGTTTAAGTTTAAAAAATGGCATGAAATATAAAATATCTATGAATGTCTAAAATACAATACATTGAGCATGACATTGAGTCTAATAAATACATAATCGTACTAAAAATCGTATTTTATTAATTTTTTGAACATTGAAAACATGCGGCCCCCGACTTAATACAAAATAGATCATGTGGCCCGTAATATCATATGAGTTTGACATGCCTGCTGTAGAATTATATTTCAAAATACATAAAAAATACAAAATCAAATCGTCAAGGGCCAAATCTGTAGGTAAATGAATATCGTTTTGTACAATTTTTTGTAAAATTTATGCATTTAAAGTTCTTTAATGCAGAATTATATTAAAACAGTTCACATACATTTTGTTGTTAGCATTTTGATGGGCTACACAAAGAATGTTTCTCGAAGCATTTATGCTTCGAGAAACATTCTTTGTGTAGCCCATCTTTACAATTTGTGCAAACAGTTCGTGAACGCCTCCTTAAGCTACTACTGATGCACACACAGGTACGGGCTTTCCTACTTCCTAGAAGTTTCTCCAGCCTCTGGTTCTTGAGAGTTGTTCGTACTCAACTTTGTGGCTATCCACTCCTCCGCCAAGCTCTCGATTACGGCCACGTGATACGCGTCTCGAGATTTCACTTTCCCTGGTCCCGAAAAATTTTCTTTGTAAAGGATGTAGCTATTCAACGTCATCCTGGCTATGACGTTGAACGCTAAATTCTTCCAATACTTCTTTGACCTACTTTTATCATAACATACATATAATACCATATCGGATATATCGACCCCGCTCATAAGTTTGTTATAATTTTGAATTATTTCTGGCTTCCATTTAGCCGTTCCATTTCTAATTACTTTTAAATCTCGTGCCCTTGCGTGGCTGGATAATATAAAGATAGGCTTCTTTTGTGACTGCTTCTCTTTAAAGCCGCAGGCTAACACGGGACCAGATCGGAAATACGATGCTTCTCCGGCTGCGAAGTTCTTCTTAAACTGTTGGGGCAGCATTTCCTGGTCCCCCCGAACAGTTCCGGTGACATAAGTCTGTAGAGAATACAGATAACGAACAAGGGGCATCGACATAAAATGTCTGTCGATGAAAAAATGGTACCCTTTGTTCAGGTAAATACCAATCTCTAGCAGTTTTTTCACAACAGTATAGCCTAAATCTAATTCTGAGATGCTGTGATCTTCCTGCTGAGACTCGGCCCGTTCAAAAGCGAAAATTCCCAAGCAGTAGCTAGATACTGAGTCGATCATCATCCAGAATTTCAAACCCATACAAATTTTATCAACATATATTTCCTGATGAGGTGTGTAATGGTGTTGGGAGACTCTGTTCAAATAATTCAAAAGAGGCTGGAATTTGGCACACGGATCATATCCCGATTCTCCAATTCCAGGCAACTTGCTGTCATCGACGACATGAAAGAAACTTAGCAACTGACAAAATCGCTGTTTAGAAAACATTTTCCGAAACCACGAATCGGATTGGATGGGAGAAGTGTACCAGAATATAGCGTAATCTGATGATTTTGTGCGACTAATATTTAAAATACACGCCAAAAACCCTTTCATCTCTGGAACAGAGACTTTGGTCCAGTTCTTCAAATAGGACGGTACGTTATTTCCCTTGCCACTTAACGCTTGCTGCGCATATCGATTGGTTTCCTCCACCATAAGAGATAGCAAAGTACTAGTGAAAAAAAAATAGAAATATGCGATCGGAGGAGAATCGGGAGGTGGCATATGTTTTGGGCCAGGCACCTCACAAAAATAAAAAGGAAAAGGTTGAAATTCTTCTAGTGAGAGAACCCCGCAGTAGTCCTCATCTTCCATTTCGTCATCACTGTCAGAATGTGCAGCCGAGGTGGAGGGAGTGGCCACATCATGTTCAGGCTCATCGTCTTCATCTTCAGAACTAGAGAAAGAGTATAGACTTGAAGACTCCACATCATCTTCACATTCATAGTCTTCAAGTTCAAAACTACTCAGATCAGAGTCAAATTCAGAGTCACCTGTCATCCGATCTAAATTCTCCATTTCGTCATCACTGTCAGAATGTGCAGCCGAGGTAGAGGAAGTGGCCACATCATCTTCACATTCATAGTCTTCATCTCCAAAGCTACTTAGATCGAAGTCATATTCAGCGACGTTTGATATCTGATCGAAATACTCTTCAGAATCACTCATTTCGCTTTCAGACATTTTCTAGAAAAATCCTATTTAAAATAAAAACCGTATTACTATGTAAAATAATACAATACAGTAGATTCGCGATATTCCGATGAATTAAGGGATTTCCTACAGACTGGCACAAATGAAATTTTCTACTTACCACTTGGTATGTGCGAAAGATAGAATGAGGTATAATGCAATACTGATATGTTATTATCAGTTGTTTGTTACAAAAACGCAACATTCAAGTGTTTTTTGCTGCATTGGAAACCTAACCAATCTTTTATTAAAAAATTTTGTTTATTTCTAAACACAATACTCCACCTCTTTCTCTCTTAATTTTATTTACAATCAACACATGCATAATAGATATTTACAAAATGCAGAGAATGTTTGAGTGGTCACCCATATAAAAATCTATAGAAACAGAAACTATTTACGGACTCTCTACCTTCCTGTTATTGCTTAATTTTGCTTTATTTAATTTAAAATATATCTTCCTATTTCAAATTAATGTGTTGCCCCTGTGCATCATGCTTTTCTGTAAACAATAGCGTTGAGCTGGTCATCTATCTAACTCCTGTCAGGGGTAACTTTTCGAATTAAAATAACGTCATATAAAGTTAATTTTGCACCTACGGATTTCCATACCGGGTCTCGTCTTTCATTTAATTCCGTTCTCTTGATTAAGGAACAGTGGGAATTTATAGTTCTAGAAATTGTTTAATTCACAGTCCTAAAAAAATTATGGGCGAGCACGAAAAAGTATGAGAATCGCTGCTTTAACACTTGTTGTATCTTTTGTTTGTAATAAAACATTATATTTCCAAACAGAAGTCTGTAAGTAGTATTTGTCGAAAAAGGTTTTTTTTCTATAAAATTAATCGATTCTAGGATAATTTGACTCGAACATTTTCAAAACACATATCTTTTTGGTGATGATTTATATAAACTATGCTATAAACAAACAATTGTAGAAATATTTATCGAGTGTGCGTCGTTCGAACACGCCATTGCTTAAGCTTCTTTTTGTCGCGGATCGGTACAATAGAAGACAGACGCGTACCAAGCGTCACGTGGCATTTCACTGTATTCCATTCGGTCTTGTGACTACTACTCACTCGCCTGGCATCTCTGACGTGTTTTTACCTAAATGTTCGAGTCAAATTAGTGTACAATCGATTAATTTTACGGAAGGAAACGTTTCAAACTTCATAAGCGCCGAAATGAATACCCCGGAAGAAAAACGTTTGAAGTCAGCAGTACAGAAACACTGTAATTCAAATTCGCCTGAGTTTTACGAAGCTATAAAGCCCTACCTGAAAATTCCGAAACTGTATGATTATTCCATGTGATTTTTCGACTTTTCCCGATTAATTAACGTCTCTGCATATCCCCTTTTCATTAATAAATATTCGGTCAATTCTATTTAATCCAATTGTGAACGTAATTACATAATTATATAATTTTTTAGCCTTATTAAATACGTATTCGGATCATAAAAGAGCGAGACTGACAGACGGATTTCCTGACTTTTCCTGTTAAAAATCTTCCAGATCTTTACGGACCCTGTACATTACAATAAACCAACCACCGGCTATCAGTTGTATGTCGGATTACAGAGACTCTACTGTATTACGAAAAATATATCAAAAATTCTTATATAAAATTAAAATGTTTAAGAATAACTTACCTTTGTAATAAAGCAAACGTAAGAAGAAAAATACTGAAAACAAAGGCACACCAGAAAGTCTCAGCTGACGACACAACGACACAACAACGAAACAATGCTACAAGCTAATGTGAATTTGGAACAATGAACTAACAGTTATATTAGGCTGTTGAACGCCACCTGGAGAAAAATATTTAAAACAAAAGGAAGGTATGTATTGTACCATTGTAAGTTAAAATATTATAACTTAAAATGGTATATATAATTTTAAAAGGTATATTCTTTCATTAGATGGTATGCTTTCATTTTTAACGAAACACACTTGTAGACACTCTTATCTATTGTTATAATTAACAATGGTAATATTTAACTATTTAAGTTTTACAAATACAGTGGTACCTCGGTATACGTCTGCTTTATAATACGTCCAATTCGTAATACGTCCTGTTTGAACAAAACAAAGTTTGCTCGGTATACGACTTTTGTTTGGTATACGACTTAATTCAATTATACCCGCCATCTTTGAACAAGTAGCACTATCGGTGTACTAGACCAGACTAGATGTTCGCGGTGCCACGGTTTATAAATTTGTTAAATTTCCTCTGATTTTAATTTGTAAATAAAATTTTATTATTTTTATTAATCATGAAACGCAAAAAGGCAAGTGAAAAGCAACAGAAAACTAAAAAATGACTAGAATNAATACAGTGGTACCTCGGTATACGTCTGCTTTAGAATACGTCCGATTTGGAATACGTCCTGTTTGGACGAAACAAATTTTGCTCGGTATACGACTTAATTCAATTATACCCGCCATCTTTGAACAAGTAGCACTATCGGTGTACTAGACCAGACTAGATGTTCGCGGTGCCACGGTTTATAAATTTGTTAAATTTCCTCTGATTTTAATTTGTAAATAAAATTTTATTATTTTTATTAATCATGAAACCCAAAAAGGCAAATAAAAGCGACGAAAAACTAAAAAATTGACTAGAATCACAATGGAATTTTAAAAAGAGATTGTTGAGAAATATGAAGGTGGCACGCGTGTTCGAGATTTAACTGTTGCATACCGTATTCCGAGAGCGACAATCGTGAAAAGTAAAGACATTATTAAATATGCTAACGTTGCGAAAGGAGTTAAATCAATTTCTAAACAGAGATCGAAGACATTAGATCATGTTCAGAAATTGCTTTTGCTTTGAATAACTGAAAAACAGTGTGCTAGAGCAGAGTCGGTAGATTAACTGGTCTTTCGACTAATAGTTCAAACTTAGCTAGAGACAATATTTGCCGCTAGTCGGCGCCACTGTTAGCAGGAGATCGTTGTTCTTGCTAGGTATATACTGAAGTCAGTGATTTTGACCTATAATAATTGTTTTTTTAGCTCCATAAAAATGCCAACGTGCTTTGTGCCAGGATGCAAGGCAGGATATAAGTCATCGAACGAGAAGAGACATTTCTTCCGTGCTCCTAGCGATAAGATTGAGGAGTGGATGCGATGCATTCCACGAGACGACAAGATGCTNGTGTTCATTTGGACTAAGGATAAGTGATTAAGTGGCATCTTACATTCATTTTAATAACTAAAATTAAATCGGTTAATTTAGAATATTCTATAAAGAAAAGAATAGATCTGGAGTGAGACGTAAATTTAATTGCATTGTCAGTTATGCTATTCAGAGCTTCATTAGATCTTTGCTTCTAGACCAGTTAATTTAGATGATAGAACCATACACTATAAATCCAGTGTTATCATTTGATTAATATAGAATTTTTGGTATAGTTTCCTATATAATTATATATTTGAAGTCAATGTTACCAATTTTTTAGTTTTAGAAATTTAATATTTTTAATTTTAAATAAAACATGAGAATTTTTGTCGGAATGTATTTACTCAAAATTTAGAATAATTTTAATTTTAATATTGTATCTTAATGCAAATTCAATTTTTTTTCATATGATCCATAAGCTGAAATTAGGTGAAGATTACGACCCAACCGAACTGATTTTCAGTGCTTGCTCTGATATCAAGAGAACAGGTAATTAACGACAATTATTTCCAGTGTTTTGATATATTTATTTATGTTTAATTAATGTGGAATGTTTAAACATTATATTAACTTATAAAATGAGAATCGGCACGTAGAGCAGGCAATGCGATTCTTCAAGGCCAGGCAAATTGCTGTCATCGACGAGAGGTAAGAAACTTAGCAATCGACAAAACTGCTGTTCAGATATCATTTCCCGAAACAACGAATCGGATTGGGTGGGAGAAGTGTACCAGTATATTGCGTAATCTGATGATTCTGTGCGACCCGCATTTAAAATACATGCCAAAAACCCTTTCATCTCTGCAACAGAGGCTTTGGTCCAGTTCTTCAAATAGGACGGTACGTTATTCCCCATGCCATTTAACACTTTCTGCGCATATCGATTGGTTTCCTCCACCATAAGAGACAGCAGAGTACTAGTGAAAAACAGATAAAATATGCGATCGGAGGAGAATCGGGAGGTGGCATATGTTTTGGGCCAGGTACCTCACAAAAAGGAAAAGGTTGAGGTACTTCTGGTGAAAAAACTTCCCGGTAGTCCTCATCTTCCATTTCGTCATCACTGTCAGAATGTGCAGCCGAGGTGGAGGGAGTGGTCACGTCATGTTCAGGCTCGTCGTCTTCATCTTCAGAACTAGAGAGGGAGTATAGACTTACAGATTCCACATCATGTTCAGGCTCATATTCTTCATATGCAAAACTAGACACGGAGGTTAGACTTGAAGACTCCATATCATCTTCAGATTCATAGTTTTCAAGTTCAAAACTACTTAGATCAGACTCAAATTCAGAGTCACTTGTCATCCGATCTAAATTCTCCATTTCAAAATCACTGTCAGATGGGGCAGCCGAGTCAGAGAGAGTTGTGGAAGCTACATCCTCAGATTTATAGCCTTCATCTGTTGAACTACTTAGATCGGAGTCATATTCAGACACATCTGAGATCTGATCAATATAATCTTCGAAATCACTGATTTCGCTTTCAGACATTTTGTAGAAAAATCCTATTTAGAATAAAAAAACGTATTACTATAGAAAATAATACAATACAGTAGATTCTCGATATTCCGATGGATTAAGTGATTCCCAACTGACTGGCACAAATGAAATTTTCTACTTACCACTTAGTATGTGCGACAGATAGAATGAGGTATAGTGCAATACGTCTATGCTATCATCAGTTGTTTGTTGCAAACTCGAAACATTCAAGTGTTTTTTGCTGCATTGGTAATTACAGTGGTGCCTTATCCTATAAGTTAAAAAAAAAATCTATTGCTTGGGGTTCACAAACAGGGTGTCCCTAACCAATCTTTTAATAAAAAATTCTGTATTTACAGTATTTCTAAACAATACTTTGCGTTTTTCTCTCTTAATTTTATTGACAATCGACACATGCATAAGAGACATAAAATAAATTTTTGAGTAGTCACCCATATAAAAAATATTCTAAAAACAAACTACTTTCAAACTAGCCACTGTTCCATCTGTCATTGCTTAGTTGCATCTTATTTTTAATTTATTTAATTTAAAATACATCCTCCCTATTTCAAATTAATAATGTCTTGTCCCTGTACATCATACTTTTCCGCTAACAATAAAGTCGTGCCCGTGATCTATCTAACAGGGGAAATTTTTAAAATTAAAATAACGTCGTATATAGTTAATTTTGCCCCTAGGGGTTTCCATACTGGGTCTTGTCTTTCATTTAATTCCGTTCTGGAGACAAAGGAATGGCAGTGGGATTTTATAGGTCTACAATTTATTCAATTCGCAGCCCAAAAAAAACTGATGGGTAAGCACAAAACAGTATGAGAATCGCTGCTTTAACACTTGTTGCATCTCTTTTGTTTGTAATAAAACATTATTATTTTTACGTGTTTTAGCTGGCAACACTGGATCGACCATGAAAGGGAGCCAGTATTTAAACGAGGCTTAATTTTCGGCTCTTGTGCAGTTTCGGGGGTACGGCTGTTTGATAGGTTTTCTTCCATAAAATTAATAGATTCTAGACTAATTTCACTCGAACGTTTCCAAAACAAGTATAATTTGTTGGAAATGATCGATATAAAATATGCTANAGAAATTTTGAAAAAGGTACGAAAATTATATAGGTGTAAATTGGACGAACTTCAATCTTCCAAGAAACATCCAGTAAAAAAGTAACGAATTTCTAAATAAATTTTGCCTTTTTCGGTAAGCATTTAGCTAAATTTTACAGATTTTTATTTTAAATTTAGTTTTAGATTAAGAATTCTTCCATTCATGTACAGTACAACCTTTATCATATCAGCGCTGGTTACAAACTGGTATGTAAAAACTCAAACAAAATATGACTCGACACATATTTTAAAAATTCAAAAAATAAAATTAATTTTTATTATAGACATAGAAAAAATATCAGATAGTTACTACTACAAGTAGTCATTAGTACAGTATTTTTCAGTTGTTGCTATTATAAAGTCACGTTAACAACAACTGATAACTTACATTAATTAATTAATAACTTGAAAATTTACACATTAATATAAAAAAAATTTTCCGAATAAAATAAAATCGGTAAAATTTTGGCACTATGCTAGAAACAGTGAAAACATTGTTCTGTACATTTTCATATAAGATGCATGCATACAGTCTTATTCGTTACAATATTATAACACATCTTTACCTTTTTCTCTAGTAGCCCACTGTGATGACGTCAAACGTACGTCAATCAATATCACTGTAAAATTATATATCAAAATACATAAAAAATACAAAATCAAATCGTCAAGGACCACATCTGTACGTAAATGAATATCGTTTTGTGCAATTTGTTCTAAAATTTATGCATTTATAGCTCTTTAATACAGAATTATATTAAAACAGTATAGGCCTACATACATTTTGTTGTTAGCATTTACGCTTCGAAAAACATTTTCCTTACAATTTGTATTGTAAGGAAATTTTTTCCTTACAATTTACAAGCCCATCCTTACAATTTGTGCAAACAGTTCGTGACCGCCTCCTTAAGCTAATGGTGCACAAACAGCTACGGGCTTTCTTTCTTCCTGAAAGTTTCTCCAGCCTCTGATTCTTGACAGTTGTTTGTAGTCAACTTTGTGGCCATCCACTCCTCCGCCAAGCTCTCGATTACGGCCACGTGATACGCGTCTCGAAATTTCACTTTCCCTGGTCCCGCAAAATTCTCTTTGTAAAGCATGTAGCTATTCAACGTCATCCTGGCTATGACGTTCAAAGCTAAATTCTTCCAATACTTCATTGATTTACTTTTATCATAACATGCATATAACACCATATCGGATATATCGACCCCGCTCATAAATTTGTTATGATTTTGAATTATTTGTGGTTTCAATTTGGCCTTTCTATTTCTAATTACTTCTACATCTCTTGCCCATTCGTGGCTGGATAATATAAAAATAGGCTTTTTTTGTGACTGCTTCTCTTTAAAGCCGCAGGCTAACACGGGACCAGATCGAAAATACGATGTTTCTCCGGTTGCAAAGTTCTTTTTGAACTGTTTGGGTAGCATTTTGTGGTCTCCCCAAACAGTTCCGGTTACATAAGTCTGTAGAGAATACAGACGGTGAACAAGGGGAACCGACATGAAACATCTGTCGATGAAAAAATGGTACCCTTTGTTCAGGTAAATATCAACATCTAGCAGTTTTTGCACAACAGTATGGCCTAAACCTAATTCTGATATGCTGTGATCCTCTTGCTGAGACTCGGCCCGTTCAAAAGCGAAAATTCCCAAGCAGTAACTAGATACTGAGTCGATCATCATACAGAATTTAAAACCCATATAGATTTTGTCAACAGATATTTCCTGATGAGGTATGTAATGGTATTGGGAGACTCTGTTCAAATGATTCAAAAGAGGCTGGAATTTGGCACACGGATCAAAACCCGATTCTCCACGGCCAGGCAACTTACTCTCATCGACGACATGGAAGAAACTTACCAATTGACAAAACCGCTGTTTAGAAAACATTTTCCGAAACCACGAATCGGATTGGATGGGAGAAGTGTACCAGTATATAGCTTGATCTAATGATTTTTTGCGACCCACATTTAAAATACACGCCAAAAACCCTTTCATCTCTGGAACAGAGACTTTGGTCCAGTTCTTCAAATAGGACGGTACGTTATTACCCATGGCATTTAACACTTGCTGCGCATATCGATTGGTTTCTTCCACCATAAGAGACAGCAAAGTACTAGTGAAAAAAAGATAGAAATATGCGATAGGAGGAGAATCGGGAGGTGGCATATGTTTTAGGCCAGGCACCTCACAAAAAGGAAAAGGAAAAGGTTGAGGTTCTTCTGGTGAAAAAACTTCCCGGTAGACCTGATCTTCCATTTCGTCATCACTGTCAGAATGTGCAGCCAAGGTGGAAAGAATGGCCACATCATGTTCAGGCTCATAGTCTTCATCGTCAGAACTAGAGAGGGAGTATAGACTTGCAAAATCCATATAATCTTCAGATTCATAGTATCCAACTCCAAAACTACTTAGATCGGACTCAAATTCAGAGTCACCTGTCATCCGATCTAAATTCTCCATTTCGAAATCATTGTCAGAAGCGGCAGCCGGGTGGGAGAGAGTTAGTAAAGCTTTATCAACCTCAGGTTCATAGTCGTTTTCTCTAAGACTATGTACATCAGACTCAATTTCAGAGTCACTTGTCATCCGATCGAAATACTCTTCGGAACCACTGATTTCGTTTTCAGACATTTTCTAGAAAAATCCTATTTAGAATAAAAACCGTATTACTATAGAAAATAATACAATACAGTAGATTCTCGATATTCCGACGGATTCAGTGATCCCCGACAGATTGGCACAAATGAAATTTTCTACTTACCACTTGGTATGTGCGACAGATAGAATGAGTTAAAGTGCAATACGGGTATGTTATTATCGGTTGTTTGTTGCAAATGCGGAGCATTCAAGTGTTTTCTGCTGCATTGGTAATTACAGTGGCGCGTTATTTTATAAGGTAAAAAATCTGTTGCTTGGGGTTTCACAAACTGGGCGTCCCTAACAAATCTTTTTTTTAAAAAATTTTGTATTTATTTTTAAACAATACTCCACCTCTTTCTCTCTTAATTTTATTTATAATCGACACATGCATAATAGACATAACAAATTGTTCAGTGGTCACCCAAATAAAAAAGATTCTAAAAACATAAACTATTTTCGGACTAGGCACTGTTTCATCTGCCATTGCTTAGTTGCATTTTATTTTTAATTTATTTAATTTAAAATATATTCTCCCTATTTCAAATTAATAATGTTTTGCCCCTGTACATCATACTTTTCCTCTAACAATGGAGTCGTGCAGGTGATCTATCTAACATCTTCCAGAAGAAATTTTTTGAAATAAATAACGTCGTATACAGTTAATTTAGTCCCTAGGGGTTTCCATACCGGGTCTCGTATTTCATCTAATTCTGTTTTCGAGACGAAGGAATGACAGTGGGATTTTATAAGTCTAGAAATTGTTAAATTCACAGTTTTAAAAATATGATGGGCGAGCACAAAACAGTATGAGAATCGCTACTTTAACACCTGTTGCATCTATTTTTGTAATAAAATATTATACAGTATTTACAAACAGAAGTCTTTATGTAGTATTTGCCGAAAGGTTTTCTACTATAAAAATTAATCGATTCTAGAATAATTTGACTCGAATAATTCCAAAACATGTATATCCTTTTCGGGATGATTTATATAAAATATGCTATAAACAACGAATTGTAAAAATATTTATCGAGTGTGCGTCGTTCGAACACCCATTGCTTAAGCTCATTTTTGTCGCGGATCAGTACAATGGAAGAATGGACGAAAACAAACTTAATTAATTAACCCTTTATTGGCTGACGGGACTTTCTAGTCCCACTATATTGATATCTTTTATTTCATAGTGTATGCATTATAGCTTTCTAGGACTTACATTTTATCATTGTATAAAGTGTTCTTTTTCTTTTCTATAGGGTAGTAACTTTCAAACTGTTCCTGTTTTAGTTTTGTCGAAAAAAGTTTCACATCGTGTGTTGTTTGAATGGTAGTAGCTGATATTGCTTTCTTTGTTGCCAAATTCTACTTATTGTTTTCACTTAAATGTCTTTGTATTTTTTAATATGTATTCTAGTTATGTGTAGTTTGATTTTAATGTATTATGTTTGTAGAATTAATGGTATGCAAGCTGTATGAGAGCAAAATATGTTTGGGACTTATGACTCCCATCAGGCCTGAAGGAATTTTTTTTGTAAATGTTAGAAATTTGTATTTTCTACATTGTGCTTTATAAATTTATGAATTTGTTTAACATTTTTATAGTTAATATACATATAAGACTTATATATGTATAAATAGATAATTTTATATCAAAAAAATTTCCATTTGATATTGATACACATCAAAACCATATACAAAATGCACAATACGTAAAGTTTTCTTGTGTGTAAATGGGGGAAAAAATAGCTTTTTACATCTTTACTAATAATAAATTATTAAACCAATAAATTTTATTTTAGTTTTGTCATGCATTTTAATTTTTTTTTATATTTTGATGTTATTATACAGTAAAAGTTAACAAATACACAATATATATAATTATGCATTTAATTTGCAAATTTCTATGATAAAAGATCTTTATATAAAACAAAAATATTTTATTTTCGAAATATTAAACAAGAAAAAACTTGTTAAGTCCAAATGTGCTCTAAAGCCTGACGGGACTAAATCCCATAATTAAAAGATTTTTAATTTACATTTTAATTTTTTTTATTTACTTATCTGTTAATAAACACCTCTTCTGACGATAAAATAAGAAATATAAAAAATGTTTATCAAAAAATTAAAATTCGGTTAGAGTAAAGGAAAAGCTATCCAGCTAAAAAAAGGTCTTAAATCTAATATTAACGAATAGACATAGACATATCTAGATGTAATTTGACACGCTGAATCGATTGGTATTAAAAAACATTACTTACGATCAACCGTTTAAAAGTTACGAACGATTTTTTATTTCCGGCTATTTGCTTCGTTTAAGAACAACTTTATTAAGAAATACGCAGGCACTCATCGATATTAACAAAACGAGTTACTTTAATTCACCATAATACATTCCATCTACGAGAGAAAGCGACATTAAAAATGCTAAAATGGTGTCGTTAGCCAGCGAACACGCGTACACACGACAAGAGCGTAGGGACAACTGACGCAGGGAAATTTTCCCTGACTGGTGGGGAACTGTCGAGCGTGACGTCACTTCCACAATTCCCTACACACACGTGAGCGGTAACAGAAATAGTTGACACGATAATATAATTATTATATATTATTTAAAATAAAAGTAAAAATTTAATAACAAATTTAGTTTTCCTCATGTTACTTTGTAACAACTTTAACGTCTTTAGTACTTTATTCCAAGATATCGGCTGTTATGCAAAAGGTCTCCAGCTTTAATTGCGTCTTATACACATTCTTTCCTCCCTGTTTCACATCTAGGAGTTTATATGGTATACATATTCTATACACTCGTCATTAGGGCCTTCCTACGCCCATTTTATATCACTTATACAGCTACGAACGCTTTTACCCTGGATCAGTGGTACCCAATTAGTTTTTCCTGCGTACCACTTCGAGAAAGAGCTCAAACTCGCGTACCCCTTATAGCAGAAATTCATATTAATCCACACTAATATTATAAATTCGAAGGTAATTTCGTCTGTCTGTTTATTACCTTTTCACGTCTAAACTGCCGAACAGGTTTTAATAAAATTTGGTACATAGATAGCTTACACGTTGAAGATGGACACGGGCTACATTTTACTGCGAGAAAATATCTTACTCCCACGAGAAAATTCGATATAATGCGAACGAAACCGTAAGTAGTCAGCTAGAGATAAATAGAATAAGTTTTTTTTTTACATTTATTACCTTTAAAATACAATTCTAATAATAATGAAAATAACATAAAGTTGTTTAATTTTAATGCGACAAATGTGCACGATTTTCTTTGCATAACTTTGTAAAATCTGGTTGCATTTTTTGGTCATCTTCAGCGTCGAGTCATCTTCCAGTCGAAGTCGGTGACGATGTTTAGTTTTCGTGTTTGCTCATAAGTACCCAAAGTAACATGAGGAAAACTAAATTTGTTATTAAATTTTTTCTTTTATTTATAAATAATAGTCTATATACCGTGTTTCCCCGAAAATAAGACATCCGCAAAATAAGACCTAGCACAGATTTTGCTGAATTGCAAAATATAAGACCTCCCCCTGAAAGTAAGACCTAGCAAAGTTTTTTTTTTAGTCGTAACGGTCATCGACAGATGGTTGAAAGTGGCCGTTGGCTTTTTGAAAGTACAGCCACTGATTGGTCAGCAGACAATTACGCCACACGGCATGATTTGCATAAAACTATGGCTTGGAATCACAGATTTGCATAACGTTACGGCTGGTGATGGCTAATTGGTCGGCCGGGAATCACGCCACATGACATTTGCATGGTGCTACGGTTCAGTAAGCACTAATTGGTCATCGAGTCCGATGTTGACGCTATAAAAAGGCGACAGTTCGACACACCGGATATACGTCACTCTCGTCTAAGTTCGACTTGGGAATTTTTTTGTTCAATAATAAATGTGAATTCTTCTTCCTGGAAAAAATAAGACATTCCCTGAAAATAAGACCTAGCGCATTTTTCAGAGCAAAAATTAATATAAGACACTGTCTTATTTTCGGGGAAACACGGTAATAATTATATTATCGTGTCAACTATTTCTATCACTGCTCACGTGTGTGTAGGGAATTGTGGAAGTGACGTCACGCTCGACACTTCCCCACCGGTCAGTGAAAATTTCCCTGCGTCAGTTGTCCCTACACCCTTGTCGTGTGTACACGTGTTCGCGGGTAAACGACACCATTTTAGCATTTTTAATGTCGCTTTCTCTCGTTGATGGAATGTATTATGGTGAATTAAAGTAACTCGTTTTGTTAATATCGATGAGTGCCTGCGTATTTCTTAATAAAGTTGTTCTTAAACGAAGCAAATAGCCGGAAATAAAAAATCGTTCGTAACTTTTAAACGGTTGATCGTAAGTAATGTTTTTTAATACCAATCGATTCAGCGTGTGAAATTACATCTAAATATGTCTATGTCTATTCGTTAATATTAAGTTTAAGACCTTGTTTTAGCTGGATACCTTTTCCTTTACTCTAACCGAAAATTCAGGCAATAAAGGGTTAATTAAACCGACTGACGGTTTTTGCCTTCCACCACAAGCGTTAATTAAATACATATTCGGTTCAAAAAAGAGCGAGAGTGACAGGCAGATTCCCTAACTTTTCCTACTAAAATTCTTCCAGAACATTACGGACCCTGTACATTACAATAAACCGACCTCCGCCAATCAGTTGGATGTGGGATTACAGAGACTCTACTGTATTACGAAAAATATATCTACAATACTAATATAAAATTAAAATGTTTAAGAATAACTTACCTTTATAATAAAGCAAACTTATAAAGAAAAATACTGAAAACAAAGGCACAGAATAAAGTCTTAGCTGAAATTCAACGACACAATAACGAAACAATGCTAGAAGCAAAAGTGAATTTGAAACAATGAACTAACGGTTTTATTAGGCTGTTGAACGCCACCTGGAGAAAAATATCTAAAACAAAAGGAAGGTATGTACTGTACTGTACCATTGTGAGTTAAAATATTATAACTTAG